TGGGAGTGGTATCGGTGAGTAGGTGGTGATGGTGATGGTGGTGGAGGAGACTTGTAGTGGTAGGGGTGCTTAGGTGGTGATGGTGATGGTGGTGGGGGAGACTTGTAGTGGTAAGGGTGCTTAGGTGGTGAAGGTGAGGGTTGGAGATTTGTAGTGGTAGGGATGCTTAGGTGGTGATGGTGAGGGTGGTGGAGGAGACTTGTAGTGGTAGGGATGCTTAGGTGGTGATGGTGAGGGTGGTGGAGGAGACTTGTAGTGGTAGGGGTGCTTAGGTGGTGAAGGTGATGGTGGTGGGGGAGACTTGTAGTGGTAAGGATGCTTAGGGGGTGGTGGAGATTTGTAGTGGTAAGGATGCTTAGGTGGTGAGGGTGAGGGTGGTGGGGGAGACTTGTAGTGGTAAGGTTTCTTTGGTGGTGGTGGTGAATGCACTGGGTGGTACGGCTTCTTGTGTGGAGGAGGAGGAGGAGGAGATGAGTAGTGGTAAGGTTTCGGTGGTGGTGGTGGGGGAGATTTGTAGTGGTAAGGTTTCTTTGGTGGTGGTGGGGGAGATTTGTAGTGGTAAGGCTTCTTGGGTGGTGGTGGTGGGGATTTGTAGTAGTAAGGCGCCTTTGGTGGAGGAGGTGAGTGTACTGGAGGAGGAGGAGGTGGTGGGGATTTGTAGTGGTAGGGATGCTTAGGTGGTGAGTACACTGGAGGAGGAGGAGATTTGTAATGGTAGGGATGCTTAGGTGGTGAGTACACTGGAGGAGGAGGAGATTTGTAATGGTAGGGATGCTTAGGTGGTGAGTAGTGCACTGGAGGAGGAGGTGATTTGTAATGGTAGGGATGCTTAGGTGGTGAGTAGTGCACTGGAGGAGGAGGTGACTTGTAATGGTAGGGATGCTTAGGTGGTGAGTAGTGCACCGGAGGAGTAGGAGAAGGAGGAGGTGGTGACTTGTAATGGTAGGGAGGAGAAGCTGGTGGTGGAGGAGATGAGTAAGGGTAGTTTGCTGAGGTTTCTGATGGCAAACTGAGAGAAACTATAGCCACTAGGAGAGTGACCACAAGAGAAGTCACTGATGAAGATCCCATTTTCCCCATCTTTTTTGTTAAGAAGGGGTTTTTGGTTTTCTGCCTCTTAAGCTAAGCCTCCCTCCCTTTATATAGCTTTGGTCTTTACCCTTAACTCTGGGGTAATCATGCCAAGTTTCACTTGCCAATGATCAAATTCTCTTAGTAAAAAACAAGATTAATGTTAAAATAACACTAATGGGCCACCTTATGTTTGAACAGCTTATCAATTACAATATTTGACCAATGAAGCAGCCTTGACTGGATTTTGTTTAAGCCCCCCTTTTAAAAAAAATAAAATTATATCTTGCTTGATGGAATAGAAGCTTCAAGGTAATTAAACACTAAAACAAGAGAGGAATATGTTAAGACTTCAGAAGGATGAATCTGTGACCTACTACTACGAAACAACATCGATATTATCTTCAATTTAATTACATGCATTGTTCGTGTGAAATTTTATAAAAATGTTATTAGTAGTGAAATCACTCATATTCTTCGACAGAATCAATCTGTTATTATCTAAGGGTGTGACCTTTTTTACTTGAAGGCAATTTAATGCAATAAGAGTACGTGGGGCAGAACATCAAGCTTTATTCAATAAAAGTATAATATCTAAACCACAAGTCTTCCCTTGTTTGTGTAATATTTCTCATGATACGTAGACAAGTTTGAAAAATGTGTGTGGTGGCCTAACTTTCTATGATTTTTGCTCTACACACAGGGAGGGACCAGGCGGCGGCAACTCTCTCTCTCTCTCTCAAATGATCCAAAGCTTTAGTACGTAGGCTGTCACATTCGCACAGCTTTAATTAATTTTCTGGAATTTCTCTGACTCTGGAGGTTTAAGATAAGCCCATTTGCCTTAATCATGCATGTTAAGGACTAATTAATCATTTACAGATACGAACTAGTTGTTCCAAACAATTACCGATGACTAATAAAGAACGATAAAATGCTTAATTAAGTATGTTTAGTTAGGCATTAAATCGCATTATTCTGACCACCGCTAGAATGAGAAAATACTTCCAAGTTCCAACTCGACAATGGAATAATCAATCCCACTTCATTTCAATTAACATGGTGAGCTGTTGAGATAATATTAATTATATTTTTTGGTAGCAATTATTTTCCGAACAGTACCAGCAGAGAAGGATGGCTTCCATCAACTCTAGATCTGCACCCTTTTGACACTTTCACGTCCCCATACAAATCCACAATCATTCATTTCAATTATGATGTAAAACAAATTAAGATTTCAGAGGCACCGATTTGTGGCCCACTGCTACTAACGTCGATACTGTCCTCAATTCAACTACCTACATAATTTAATAAGTGTGACGTTTTATACAAAAGACATCGATGCTATTAATAATTGAATCATTTATTATATATTTTATTTTATTTTGTTAAATTTCTCATATGTGACTTTATATTTTTTTTAAACATGCAATCATAACGATACAAATTAATCATTTTTTCTCTTTTTACTTTATTTTCTTTTTTATGTTTTAGATAATAGTACACCAAACTTTTTCTTTTTGTGGGGATTGTGTGGTGCTGTTGCCCTAAAGTTAATGTGGACAAGGAGTCATAGGACAACCTCGATCCATCTTCACAATCAATGCTAGGTTAGTGGTGGTCCTATGGCACGTGACATCTCACGTGATTTTAGTCAAAATGTTAGTTCTCCACATCCTTCTTTAGGTGCATGCTAATAGGAGTGGTAGGTGAAGACTGAACCCTAGCTACGTAATCTCTTTTAGCCCATAGAGAACGATGGAAGAAGAGTCATTATTGGCTTTTGACTGGTTTCTCCGATCTCTGTGTTAAAAAAAATAGGGTGAAGGAGTATTATACTCAATATAGGAGTCCAAATTATAAAAAAATTATATATGAAATGGATTTTAAAAACACACTCAAAATTCATTTACAACATAGCAAAGAAGCTTTTAACTTTTCTAAATTACAAAACTGACATCGATTTCTTAAAACAAGCCCCACCCCAAAACCTCATAAATAAAAAAACTCAAAACATTCAATAGGATATCAAAGTAATTTAATAATCAAAATTAAATTTAATATGGTCAGCTGTTATTTTTGGGGGTTTGTTTGGGATTTGTTTATAGAAATTAAATGGTGTAAAGTTTATCTATATTATTAGTGCTAAAAATGGGTATATGAATAAATATTTATAATAATAAAATACTACACAGAGAAATTGTAACCATGCAGTAATTTGTATATAAATGGTATATAAAAAAAGACAGCCAAGAATTGAAGAAGAATATGAGGGAAGGTTTCTCAGCCAGTACTTTTTGTTTTTTTTTTCAATACAGAAATTGACAGTCACCTTTCATATTCATGTTGTAGCTTTCATGGTAGCTAGCTGGAGTTTGTATAATTTTTACCTTAATATGCAAATGTGGTCAAACACATTTTAAACACTAATCTAGTTTGGCTCCTATTGAATTTCTTGCATCACTAGCTACTAAATAAGTCTTCCTCATCTTGACAAATTAGCTTGTGTATAAATATACATATAAAAAACCAATTATGCACATTGATGGGGTAAGTGAGATTTAAAAAAAATAAAAAAGCAAAAGTAGAAGCACTTGAATTTTCACAAAAATAAAAAATTGGGCTGGGGCAGGTTAGATGGCATGTGATTTGAGACAAATCTAAATCTAGAAGCTTGTCTGAAATGAGAGAGGTGGAGAGCTGAGTACCAAGGAAGTGGAGAATTTTGATTTTGATTTTACTTTTTTATTCTAAAAAATCTTGCAGATCAGAGGTCTTAGGTTCGAATTCTTATGATATCATAACTGTGTGTGTGAGAAATCTCCCTCTTCTCTAATTTAAACCATCGCATACTAAAAAAGAAAAGATATATATGCTTTAAAAATCAGTGTGTGAATATGGGGGAAATTGGTCAATTTTACAGCACATTTTGGCTAAAACAATATTTTCTGAACATATACATGTGCACCGTTTAAAATCCTTGAGAATTGGTCCTAGTATTATATGGCTTTGGTTCTTCCGTTTTGCCATACTTTCTTGCTTTTTGTTTTTCTTGTTATTTTCTAGTGTTGCTTTGTTTGCCAAGTTGCTATAGAAAATGCATTTGTCAAATTTATCCTAATAGGTTCTTTGAGTCCAACAATGACAAGATGTGGATGATCCTCGAACAAGCATACGATACTTCCTTTTCTTTTGCGGGTCTTCTCCCTGCTCAGTCCCTCTCCTCGAAGTTTAAAGTTTGTATTTTTCCTCTTAGTCTTATGCATATATTAGTTCTTTCTAAAAAGTCTTCCCCTTTAAAGGGATCTCCATAAACACATTTATTCCCTATGAGTTATTGAGACCCAACATGTAATAATTATATGAATACACTACGCCAATTTGTTATGTATGGACCATCGATTCGATTGATACGTATCCAGTTCAAATAGACTTATTTGGAGGGTTCTTACATAGAATTTTCTTCGTATGAAAGATACCCGAAATTGGAAGAAGGAGGTTCACACTCGAACTCTTGCCACTGATGTGTGAATATCATTCGAGAAAATAAATTTCTTTATACTCAACTTTGACCACTTTTTTGTATACAATACAATGTATAAGCAATGATCCAAAATTACATTCTGTCAAGAGAACGTCCCTTTACGTAACAATATTTATATTGAACCTGTCATCATAATATGTATACCCATCCATATAAACTATAATTAGCTGATTAAAGAAGCATTTTGTTGTAGATCATATGGTACATACATATGTGATCATACATAATAAGCCTAAACAATCGGGTTCATAAAATTAATTAGTTTTAGGGTTTTGATAATGATGATGATTAGACTAAAAAGTCTCCTCCCAATGCAATATCAGCAAGTCGTTTTATTTTATTTCATTTTCGTACAAGAAATAAATATATTATCTCCAAGGCACCGACACGAAAATGAAAGCGTGAAAATGAGATTTTCATAGGCTGGGAGAAATTATAATATTTTGCTTTCGTGGACTGCATGATGCATCCAAGTCAAGAGAGCCAAGTGTCTTGGATTGTTTGTACCAAAAAAAATCAGATGATATAAATTTATATTAGGTATATATTGTGTATGAATTTCAGCACTCCGGTCCATATGAATACCTGTCTGGTCTGCCCGTGGATGTTTTGTGAAGGATTTATGGGTCCTGGACAGTTGTCCAACTTTTCAAACGTGATGGATGT